TCTCTCTCTCTCTCTCTCTCTCTCTCTCTCTCTCTCTCTCTCTCTCTCTCTCTCTCCCCTCCTCTTTCAAAAAAAAATTAAATAAATAAATAAAAATAAAATTTTTAAATTAAAAAAGAACTGGTAAAATGCCCCTACGTTCAATCCCCAGTACCAAAGATAAATAAGTAAATAAATAAATAAATTAAATAAAATAAAATAAAGAGGGCTGGGGATGGAACTTAGTGGTAAGCATCCCTGGGTTCATTTTTTTAAAAAGTTAAAAGTAATTCTCTCTCACCCCGATTTTTCTTGGAGTAATTTTGCTCTGTTACAGTGTGACCATGTCGTCATGCGTTCACCTGTCTGATGTCTCTCCATACTAGTCTGGATGCTCACTATGGCAGGGACTACACTTGCTTTGTTCATGACTGCATACCCACAATCAGAAACGCAGTGGTCATGATTCACGTTTGTGATATGATGAATGGTCAAGGCCATTCCCAGCCATTGACTCTGGTGAGGCTGGACTCTGTGGGGCATGACCCTCCTTTCCCTCTCCCAGCTCAGCAGAGCCTGTGTACAAGCTCCCTTCCCTTCGGCTGGAGCTTCTGCCCTCTGTGCTGCGCACTCAACCAAACTCCAAGGCTGCTGCCTGCTGATTGATGTCAGTGTTTCTGTACTTCCAGGAAGGAAACTCCTGGAGCTGCGTGTTTGTGTCTTGGACTCCTGGCTCAGTGCTGAACACTGTCCGGGTTCTTGGTAAATACTTTGTGAAGGTTTTGAACTAGGTATTGACTAAGGAGGGTCCTATAACAATGCACGTCAATGAAAATATAACACAGACCTGTTCACCAGGTCAACCAGTGGCATGTCAGACACCAAGAAACTGGACAGTTAAGTAGATGAGTGACGACAATAAGAGGGGTAAAATGTTAAGAATGAAGGAAACAGAGCACTGGAGGAAGGCAGGGTTAAACTAAGAGAGCTACGGTAGGGAGGGAGGGACAGGAGGCCCACTGACCTCCTAAATATATTCAGGTCAAGAGAACTCCAGTCACTGTTTACCACCCACAGTCTTGGGCAAGTCACTTAAACTATTCTGAGCCTCAGTTTCTTTTTCTTTAAAATGGGTATGTTAATACCCACATCTCAGCTTGGTTATGAGGATCCAAGCTCATTGGAAACTGGAAAGGAGTCTAAGTATTCATTAGGCTTGACTCCCTGGTGAACAGATGTCCTTGTGTTCATTGTGGTTCTCTGGAGACATCATAGTCTACATTGTCCACATTTTTGCAGAAATGTAAAAAATACTGATGTTTTAAATTCTTGCAAGGATAAAAATAATATCCACTGCTATTTGTCAACTGATGCTGATTAGAATCATAGACATAACATGTTTCTAAAAGCAGGATTTGCTGTAGTTCAAAGGAGAGGCAGGAAAGTATGACAATGATACAGTGAAGTCAGCCTGAAAGTCCAAAGCAAAACACTACCCGCAAGTTAAAGCCCTTTATAAGCAGGAAAAGCCCCACATACCTGCAGGTGGTACTGGCTATTCCTGAAGATATTATAGATGACGGCATTGTGAGAAGACACGTACAGAAGGACTCTATGGTTCTTCTCACGGACATAGAAGACAGGGAGGGAACTGTTCCATCCAAACGACCAGGTCAAGTTCTAGAAGACAAAAGCAAAACCAGCAGGATGCTAGTGTGCAGAGCCCAGAGCCACGCTCCTGCACCAACGCCCAGAGAAGAATTCCACAGCACCAGTGCCACAGAGAAAAATCACTTTAAGAAAATTCTCAGCAGTGAGCCGGGTACATGGTACAGGACAACAGTTCCAGCAACTCGTAAGGCTGAGGTAGGAACAATTGTGGGAGTCCAGAATTTTGATGCCACCCTGGATGACAGCAAGACACCATCTCAAGAAAGAAAAAAAAAAGCCCAGTGGGGTAGTCCACACCTTTAATCCCAACAGCTTGGGAGGCTGAAGCAGGAGGATCATGAGTTCAAAGCCAGTCTCAGCAATGATGAGGTGCTAAGCAACTCAGTGAGACCCTATCTTTAAATAAAATATAAGTGGCCTAGTGCCCCTGAGTTCAATCTCTGGTACCTGTCCCCACAAAAAAATAAGGCTAAATATGTGGCTCAGTTATCAAGTGCTTCTGAGTTCAATCCATGGTACCCACCCCACACAAACAAAAAGAAAAAAGAAAAAGAAAGGCTCTACAAGCTACAATATGAAAGAATCTTTGAAGAGGGGACACTCAGTGAAAGAAACCTCACACATACAAAAAACAAAACAAAACAAAACAAAACAAAACCCTACATTAGATGGGCAGGTGGTACACACCTGTAGTCCCAGCAGCTCAGGAGGCTGAGGCAGGATGATCACAAGTTTAAAGCCGGCCTCAGCAACTTAGGAAGATGCTGTCTCAAACAAATAAAAAGGGCTAGGGATGTTGCTCAGTGGTAAGCATCCCTGGACTCAATCCCTGGTACCCATCCCCCCAAAAAATTAAGAAGAGAAGAGAATGGGTAGTAGCTTATAAGAGGAAGTCTTATAAGCTGATAAGAGGTGCACAGGGCAGAGAAATTGCTGCAAGATAAAAATGGGTGATGTAGAGAAAGACAAGAAGGTTCTTGTTCAGAAGGGTGCCCAGGGCCACACCAAGGGAAGAGCAGCCAGTGCAAGACTGGGCTGAGCCTCGGACTGCTTGGGTGGAAGGCATGTCAGGCCTGGGTTCCCCAACAGGAAGACAGGTGTCACCTGGGGACAGGGAGCATTGATAGAGTATTTAGAATCTCAAAAAGGAAACTCCCAGAACAAAAACTATCTGAAAAACTCAGAAAAGCTACTAACGAGTAATAGCCACAGGCTTGTTTATTGCAGAACAGAATGCCTCATGGCTTTCTTGCATGCACCATCATTTACTTGATGACAGACACCAGAATTCAGATCAGGAATGGCTGGCAGATTTTTTTTTAGTTGTAAATGAATACCATAGCTTTATTTTTAATTTATTTATGTGGTGTTGAAGATCAAATCTAGTGCCTCATACATGCAAGGCAAGCACTCCACCACTGAGCTACAATACCAGCCCTGGCAGAATATTTTTTTGGACAGGCTTGGTTCAAATAAAAAATTGATCTGTAGTTCAATGGATATGATTTTTTAAAAAGTTTTGATGATAATCCCAGTTCAGTAAGTATGATCACCATTCTTCCTTTCCAGAGATATGGTTAGAATTCATTAGTAATGTCCAACCTTTCACAGGGTGGTGAAGGCCATTTAATGCCTACTAAAGGCTGGTTTTATACTTAGATTATATGACTGGTTCTGTGAACAAGTTTAAATCCTGGAGGAGATCTCTTCACTGTCTCTGAACCCAACAAGACTCACACGTGTTTCAATTTGTGTTCATCAGCCTGTTAAGGGCCGTGGCTGAGGACAAGGAAGCAGTCTGGTCTACTTTATATTTTTGTTGACCAATCCAATTTAATTAGAATTACTCATATCTAAAATGCTGCCTTTTCCAGGTGCAGTGTTTACATACCTGTAATCTCAGTTGCTTGGGAGGCTGAGGCAGGAGGATTGCAAGTTCAAAGCCAGCCTCAGCAAAAGCAAGGTGCTAAGTAACTCAGTGAGACCCCTGTCTCTAAATAAAATATAAAATAGGGCTGGGAATGTGGCTCAGTTGTCAAGTGTCCCTGAGTTCAATCCCCAGTATCCAAAATAAAATAAAATGCTGTATTTTACTTATGTGTAATATCAAATAAAGAATATGTAACACATTTTTGCAAGTTCAGATGTTTTAAAGTCAGCATGATACAATAGCAAACTAGATTATACTTTTGAATACTTTCTGTATCAGACTGAGTTATAATGCAAGATTGTCTTTAAACAGCTATTCAAAAACACAAAAACTGTGAGAAAACTGTGGAAGTGTGATTAGATAATGGTGCTTTTGCCAACTCACTAGAAGGATTAAAGTAGAAGAGATATCCCATCGCATAAATTTGCAAATTATGTGATCATAAAATTTGAGATAATTAAAAATGAAATCAAAGATCAAAAACATTAAAAATAGCATTATCACACCAAGAATGGTGGCACGTGCCTGACATCACAGCTACTTAGAAGGCTGAAGCAGGAGGATCACAAGTTCAAGGGTGGCCTGGGTAATTAACAGGACCTCGTCTCAAAATAAGAAAGAAAAAGCAGGGTAGGAGTGAGGAAGGTGGAAGGGCAGCAACTAGGGATGTAGCTCAATGGTAGAATGTCCCGGTGCTGGGGAAAAAATTACAATTCGATCTAGCAATTAAATTTCTAAGTATAAATCCAAAACTGTTGAAAAGAAAGACTCAAAAGATATTGTACACTCATGTCCATAGCAGCACGATTCATAAGAGCAAAAGGTAAAGCAACCCCAGTGTCCACTGGTGAATGAATGGATGAACAGACTGAGATCTTTCCCTAAAGTGGAATATTATTCAGTCTTTCAAAGGAAGAAAGTTCTGACACAGGCTACATGAATGAACCTTGAAAACATGAAGGGAAATTAGCCTGTCACGAGAGGACAAGCACTGCTATGGTTCCAAATTCAGAGAGAGGAAGGAGAACAGCAAGTTCCCGCGGCTGAGAGAGGAAAGGAAGGAGAGATTTGGTTAAATGGGTGCAGAGTTTCGGTTTTACAAATGAAAAAGGAAAGGCAGTGGGATGGATGGATGGATGCCTCAGCAGCTTAGCAAGGCCCTAAGCAACTGAGACCAATCTCTAAATAAATACAAGAAAGGACTGGGATGTGCCTCAGTGGTTAAGCACCTCTGGGTTCAATCCCAGTTAGAAAAAAAAAGAAAGAAAGAAAAGAAAAAGTCTTTAATAGTAAATTGAAACCATTCCCTACTCTTCCATTCCCCAAGACCCATACCTCACTAGGCACCAACCCACAGTGAGCAGTTAACATGGTGAAATTCCATTACTTCCTGAAAGCACAGCGAACAGTCAGGTGATAATAAAGTCAATAAGTAACTTTACAAGAAAGGCAAGTATTCAACCTAAGACTTGGTTCTTATATACCATTTTTCCTGGAAAGATAAAAGATAAAAAGACAAAATTCCCTTAGAAGAATTAAAAGGTCCACATTTCTAGGAATAAATCCAAAATAAAAATCTCATTAAATAAAAAATTATAGGTACTAAAACCTATTATATTTTGGGGGGGGCAGATATGAGGTATGAAACCAGGGGTGTTTAAACGCTGAGCCACATTCCCAGACCTTTTTATTTTTCATTTTCAGAAAGGGTCTTGCTAAATTGCTTAGGGCCTTGCAAAGTTGCTGAAGTGCTGGCTTTGAACTTACGATTCTCCTGCCTCAGCCTCCCAAATTGCTGGGATTACAGATATGTACCATTGAACCCAGCTAAATTTATTACTTTTAATTGAATAGAAAAGCTTTTTATTATAATTTTATGTTTAAAGTCTACTGCTTTTAATTCAATGACAGCTTGTTTTTGTAGTAATCTTATGTGTATCCATACAGATTGTGGTGTATCCATACAATGGGATACAATTCAATGATAAAAAGAAATGGCCTACCGAGCCACAGCAGGACATGGAGAACCCTTACATGCATATTGCTAAGTAAAAGAAGCCCATCTAAAAGGGCTCCATACATTCTAGAAAAGGCAAAATGACAGAGACAGTGACAACAACTCCAGTGGCAGCCAGGGCCCAGCAGGAGGAAGGAGAGGGAATAGGTGGAGCACAAGGATCCCGAGGGTAGTGAATCTCTCCTGAAAGATCCTGAAATGGTGGATATACATCATTCCTTGCTTGTCAAAGCCCACACAGCATACAGCACAGAGTGACCCCCTAACGTGAACCAAGGACTTTAGTTAACAATGATTTGTCAATGTTGGCCCACCGAGGCCAACAAATGTACTGCTCTTGCAGGATGTTAATAAAAGGGTCACCTGGGGAAGAGGGAGGTACAAGGGAGCCGATGGGGACTCTCTGTACTTTGGGATCAATTTTCAATAAGCTTAAACTGCTCAAAAATAAGGTCTATTGGGCTGGGGATGTGGCTCAAGCGGCAGCGCGCTCGCCTGGAATGCGTGCGACCCGGGTTCCATCCTCAGCACCACATACAAACAAAGATGTTGTGTCCGCCGAAAACTAAAAAATAAATATTAAAAAATTTCTCTCTCTCTCTCTCTTTAAAAAAAAAATAAGGTCTATTAAAAATTAACCATGGGACTGGGGTTGTGGTTCAGTGTAGCACGCTTGAGTAGCATGGATGAGGCACTGGGTTCGATTCTCAGCACCACATACAAATAAATTTTTAAAAAAATAAAGGTCCATCAACTTCTTTAAAAAAATATATAATATTTATTTATTTATTTATTTATTTATTTATTTAACCAGGGGGCTGGGGCTGTAGCTCAGTGGTAGAGCACTTGCCTAGCATGGATGAGGCACTGGGTTCAATCCTCTTAAGTTCAATTTTTTAAAAAAATAGATAAGTAAAATAACTTAAAATTCTTTTTAAAAAATTAGGGACAATTAATCAAACATGGAAGAATGTAGAAAGTGATGTTTGAATGATGAGATGCTAAAAATCAGGGAATTATATTGGACTATAGAAACAAAATCAGGAAAGTTTCCTTTCTTATCTTTGAACTAAGTACTTATAAAGTTAAATGGATATACCATACATTTTTCCCCAAGACAGACATAGCAGGTAATATGGCCAATTTCCCTCTCCTTCATTCTTCATTCTCTGTCCTGTTCTGTTTCCATGTGCCTGTTCCTTATAATTTATATTTCTATTTAGATCTTTTATTGTGTGGGCGTGAGTGGTAGAACGATAGAATCATAATTGTCTCAAACTGCAACTTCTAGGAACAGAATTATTTAATATTTGGTTCTTAAAAGCTGATTCATGCAAATGAAATTGTTCTTTTTGGAAAGTCGCTAATCCTAAAAGGATCATCATATTCATCCTGAAAATTAATTTTTTCATTTTGTAAATTAGTTATAAAAAGCAAACATTTCTGGACAGACTCCTCTCCTCAGCTACAGCAGCTCTTCCCAGGTCAACTGGGCTGCCTTCACCCAGTGATGATGGGACTCGTTACCTAGCAGAGTGTTAATCCCTATATTCTATATCAGCTCTAATGTGGGGGACAAATGACTAGGAGGGAGCCACCTCTTACCTCAGCCTTTTGCTAAAACATGCTGATGTGAAAAATAAAATTTTATTGTCAGGCCTGAACTTCTCTGTGTGTGATATTCCTGAGATCGTGCTCATAAGAACATGATTACTTTGTTTCTTGGCTGGGTGGAATTCATGGTTATGTCTTTTGCCAGTAGCATTGTGACTTCTTTCAGGGGACCTCAAAAGAAAAAGGTGGCCACCCGAGGTACAAGAGAGAAGGAGGAGCACATTCGCCATGGCAACTTTTGTGAGAGGGAAGAAGGAATTAGAAGAAACATAAATGGCTACAGAGAAGTGAGCAGTTACATTTAAAAAGGAAAAATGGAGCTACAGGCACCGATATCAGAAACCTTCCAAGACATACCGAGTTTTCCACAAACTTTCTCCACAAATGCAGAATATCTCAGTGGTTAAAAAAGAAAAAAAATTAAACCAAATGTGAGCTGTGTGTGTGTGCGCACCCTATGAGCACACAGTATGTTGGTGTTCGTCAGGAGAAAGATCAGGAAAGACACAGTCTCCCAGATGGAGCAGGGGTTCCCAGGGAAGCGAGATGGGTGAGAGTGGGTGTGGGAGAGGGCTCTTCCTTCAGACATGTCTATGTTGTATGATGTCTTTACAAAGAGCACTGATTGGTTTAAACAAAAGAAAAATAATAAAGGAGAAAGGTACTTCCAAAAAGCTAAAGAAACTTGCAAAGATCCAGGAAAGTTTTGGTCCTTCAGAAAGACCAAAGGCGACTGGAACCAGAACTGGGGAGTGGCTCTCCTGGAGGCCAGCGGCAGCCTGAGCATGGATTCCTCGCTCTCACGGCCATCCTACCTGAGCTCTGGTGAGCTGGAGAAATAAGACCAAAGTCTGGATGGGCCCACAGCCCCATTAGTCTAAATCTTAGGCTGAACAACTGCAGGCTGAGGGGGACCCCTGCTCAAAGAAGGTCAAATCTCTAGAAAGGAGGTTTGTAGCAGTCTGCCTTCCCCACTGGATGACTCCACTCCCCATCGTCCTTGTCCTCTGCATCATACAGTATAGAACACCCATGGTGGGTCACTGTGTTAGGAGCTATGTTGGGTACATTATATGCCATCAGTTGCTGCAAACTTTCCACAGGCATAAGACTACAGGAAAAAAGAAAAACAGGACAAATCCTAGGAAATGATTTTCTGAAAGTAGCAGATGGAGGAAGAAGAAGGGGGAAAAGAAAAAAAAAAAACCCTGCTTTTCCTTCTCTGAGTAAATGATAATATTTTTATGCCTCCCAGATGGTGCTTCCCTGGAATATCAGCAGCAGAGGCAGAGACCTTGGGACAGGCTGGTGCTTTGCAAAGCAGTCTCCACTTTCATCACAAGTGTCACTTTTCTGGCCAGGATTTGGGGAGCCCATAAAGGCATTAACCCAGTGGAGGGCGGAGAGGTGAGGCAAGAAGGGGAAGGGAAAGAACTGAAGGGACCCGGGAGGTTACAACGTGGCAGGTGGAGAGGAGAAGAAAGAGGGAGGAGGGAGAAGAAGGTGGGAAAGGAGAAGAAAAGGAAAGAGGGTGAGAGGAGAGGGAGAAAAGTCAAGGGGAGAAAGGGAGGACGAGATTTTGAGTCTCTCGCTCAAAACAGCACCCTATGCAACAAACTATGCATGGAATTTCCTGCCCGTTGAGCAACAGTATTGAACCCAGATGGTGCATTCATGTTCCCATGCATCACACATGTCCAACCAGAGTTCTTAGCTTAAAAAGCATCTTTCTGGTGGGACGTTCTCCAGACACACATGCAATTCTCTGGTTTTCCCATACTCTCCAAGCACCAGGGAAATGAAGATGCACTTTATGCTTACCAAAGGGTACACAGGGGTGCTCTCATCCTTTTGGAACAAGGAATCCTCTGTGGTGGTGGACACCAGGGACTCCTTGGAGGCCCTTTCTTTTTCTCCTTTTTCAGTGAGGTTGTATGACTCTTTCTTTTCATGTGTCCTTTCATCCTCTTCTGATTCTGTGGCTTCCTGTTCTGATATCAAATCCCCTTTTGCTTGTTCCACGGTGTCTTGGGGAGCTTCTCCAGGTTTCTCCTCAAGCTCTTCTGGGAACTGCCAATCTGTCTGATCAATCTCATTATTGATTTGCTCTGAATCCAGAAATGAATGTTGTGAGCTGAGATCTCTTAAAATTTCATTTATTTCAGAATTGTCTGATGGTAAGGAAGACTTATCTCCTTGGGTTTCCTTTAAAAAGAAATAAAAGGAGATTGTGATTCTAAACACAGTGCCTCCTGCACATTCTCCTATTTATTGTTCCCTCCATTCTTCACCAGCCAGTCTTGGTGTTAGCTTCACCTTGGAATTATGAGATGTTTTTCATAACGTGTCAGGAGCCTGGCACATTTTGTATTAAGAAATGAGTCCAAGGGGCTGGGGTTGTGGCTCAGTGGTAGATGGCTTGCCTAGCATGTGGGAGGCACTGGGTTCGATTGTCAGCGCCGCATATAAACAAATAAATGAATAAAGGTCCATCAATAACTAATAGAAAAAAAATGAGTCCTGGGTGAGTCTGGATTTATTCTCAGCCTACTAGCAGGCAAAGACAATAAAATCATTCTTTTAAGTGTCACTGGTGGTCTCCAAAAGCCTGCTAGACACAGAGTTATTTATGTTGGGCCAGGGCTGAGTTCTCCCCCACTAGGAACAGACTGGGGAGGCCAATACCACTGTTATTGCACTGATGCTAAGATGAGCCCACTTCCACTAACCCCTACTGCCCTTTAAAGTCAGCTGAGTGTACGCCTCCCTCCAGGGAACTTGTCCTGATCATCCTCCTAAATGGGTTAAATTGACTTTTTTTTTTTTAAATCTCCTGTGCATCTCATAATCCCGGCACCTCCATGTTGCTTTACGTATGCAGTTGTGGGTCTGCCTCCACACATACCCTAGAGCTCCTTAATTAAATGGATTGTGTCTTATTTGGTTTTGTATCCCCAGAGCCTGGTGTATATTGAGTATTCAATTAATGATTTTGAATGAATGGAGGAATGAATTACAATTCTACTTACCAGGAAAGCTTCTGAAATGGATGACTGAGAACTAGAAAATTCTTTCTCCAAACTGATCATGGACATGATTTCTAAAGGTATCACTGTGATGTCCTCCTGGACTCCTGCAGCCTCTTCTTCCTCAGTTTTTCCAAACTTGTCCTCGGTTTCTTTTACAACAGCCTCTTCCTCCTTCACCACCACCTCAGGCTCTTCCTCTGCCTCTCCTTCCTCCTCACCTTCACCCTCTTCTTCTTCCTTCTCCTCTCCCTCATCTCCCTTCTCCTCTTTTGTTTCTTCTCTCCACTCCTCCTTATCCCTTTTCCCCTCCTTCTTTTCTTCTTCTTCCTCCTCCTCCTCCTCCTCTATCTCTTCCCCTTCCTCCTCCTCCTCCTCCTCCT